TTTTTTCAAATTGTGGAACTCTACTTAACAGTTCTTGTAGTTATCTCAGCTTTTAGCTACAAATAAAGAGCAACAAAATAAAAAATAATCAAACAGCCTCGAACCTGATGCGTGCTGGACTCGTAGGTCCCGAACGGCAGGTCCCCAACGAGCATCGGGCGCTTGGCCCCACGCGCCACCGCGCGGCAGTGGACGAGCATCTCCTCCAGCGTGATGGGCAGTGTGGTGTCGTGGCCGTGGACCACCATGGATGCCGAGTCGCCGACCAAGCAGATGTCGATGCCGGCGGTGTCCAGGTGCACGGCCGCCGGGTAGTCGTAGGCCGTGACCATGGAGATGGGCTCGCCCTTCCTGTGCTTCTGCCGGAGGTGGGTGAGCGTCACGCGCTGGGTGTGGTTCTGGGGCTTCGGGCCGCCGTAGACGGTGTTCTCGGGGACATTGCTCATGCGGCGGAGGAGAGACGCCGGGGCGGTGCTGGTGGGGCGCGGTTTGGTGGAGGAATTGCGGAGGGCTTTGCAGATTGAAGTGAATATTTTCATATTCGCCGGTAAAAAGTGCAAGAGTGATTCGAAAAGGGGGAACAGAAATTCGATTGACAAAATATGTCAATTTTTAACGTCAGTCTCATCAACATTGGAGTTGCCGAAATTAGGAGCAATGGCAAGTGCAACAAGCATTGGAGGTTAATTAGGGTATTTTTAAATATTATAATTTATAATAAATAATTTTTTTTATATGAATAATTTATATTTTTTAATTATAATTTATAATAAAAAAATTCAAAACTCAAGTATCATAAGTATAATAGACCAAAAAATATCAATGATCACAAGACTCCGTGAATACTGAATGATTTCAAAAGTTGGATCAAAACCGCGTTAAATTAGATAATACTCTCTCCTATTCATAATAAGTGTCGTTTTGGGAGATTGCACAGTTATTAAGAATATATTTTTTACCAATAATAACCCTCATTAATGATGATAAAAATGAATGTTTAGAGAAAAAATCAAGAGTGAATATAAAAAGACGTAGTATATTTATTAGCTAGATGAGGGTAATAATGGAAAAATATGTGCAAAATATCCAAAACGACATTTATTTGGTTAATAGTTGATAAAGCCAAAATGACATTTAAAAATAATAGGAGATAATAAATGTTAATTGTTTGTTTTTCTTTGAATTGAAATATAATTGGGATGGTTTCAGATATTTTATAAATATATCAATGGAGATCAAAATGAATCATCTCACACCGTACTATATTGTAAAACCATAAGTAAGGAACGATATGTAACTTGACTTCAAATGTGCCACTCATTTGAATTTATGTGAAAATTCATTCTAGAGTATTTGGATACTTCCATAATTTTTAATAGCATATGGCAGTATTATTTTCGCATAAATTTAATATTTCTATGCTTTAAATAATATGCTTTATAAAATTTTATTTTACTTTTGTCCTATATCTTAGTTATTATGATATATAAAAATTCAATGATTATAAACCTGTAAATATCCTATCTAAACCATAATGAATCAAAACATAAAGACCTATCAACCTAACCATCTTGATTTTACTATACCAACTAGTTTTGATTGAATTTCGAGTAAAATTGAGTTGTTTTAAATTAAGTTTATTGAGTAGAATTTTGAGTTTGTATTTAAATTATATTTAAAATGTAATTACTAAAGTTGATGTGATATAAAAATATTAGAGATGTTGAAATGATATATAACTAAAATATATAAGTGAATGAATAGTGAAATAAAATCGAAGTGATGTGTTACAAGAGTGATTGACATAATTAGTTACGTTGATAACATGTAAGATGGTTAAGATGGATTAAAGCTAAGTTGTATTTTGAGTTACATAGCGTAAAAAATATTATATGACTAATCACATTCAATTATATTCTATATTCAATCGCGCCCTATACCTTTTTTTGTATTTAAACAAATTTGTTTTAATCGAACATATCAATTAAATTTATTGAACATATCAATCAACATATAAGATATAAGTTTTATCATTTTGATTTATCGAACATACCCCTTAGTAATAAATTCAAAAATTATTTATTAACTATCAATTAATTTTTTTATCATGAGTAATTTATTAATTATAAACTCAAAAGTATATATACCCCTAAGCCATTAGTTAAAAATTCAAAATTTATCTATTACCTATCAATTAACTTATATACTATCAATTATTTTGTTGCTTGAATTTGTGATACATCAATTGAAATTTCATGTATCATGTTTTCAATTGACAAAATAATATTGTTTAGGTAGCAATTGCGAAAGCCCAAATAATAGACGATGAAAAAAAAATACATAATATATGGATTTTAGAGTCGGTCATCCACAGCTGGCCCGGCCCGGTTAAGCACAAGGAAAATGGCTGCACTCAGGGCAACCCCGTTATTGTTAGCGCCACTGCACAATCTTCGGATTATCGCCTCTACACACTCTCGCCCGCTTTCTCCATTCCCAGTCCCACCAAAATCCGGCATCAAATTCATCTGCCTCCACTCACCGAGTTGCTCAGCCGCTAAAACCACACCAATGGAAGCTACCGCCGCCGCCGTCGCCGCCTCCGATGGCCAGCACAGGTCGGGCGATTGGTTCTCGGTGCCAGAGCTCCGACTCAGAGACCACAGATTCGTCGTGCCTCTTGATTACTCCCTCGATGTTTGTACTTCACCGAACATTACAGTCTTCGCTCGCGAAGTTGTCGCTGGTAACGGATCGATTCTAATTTGGGAATGAGTTGTTGACTTGTTTCTAGCTGATTGATCTTTTTGATGCTACAAATTGTGCTTGTGAACTGTTTTTACACTGTGCGTTTGGTTTTATTTCTCTTTTGTGGTTTTTCCATCTTCTGGATAATATATCAGTCTGTTTGGAATTTCATGTAGTGCATGATCTAGGCTTGGATGTCTGAGTTCCTAGTAGCTATGTGGTACATTGAGTTTTAATTCATGTACTCAACTGTTTTGCTCTAGAACTTGAGAAAGAACCAGATTATGCTCTGAGGGTGTACATTGAGCTTTAATGCCTGTACTAAACTGTTTTGCTCTAGAACTTGAGAAAGAACCAGATTATGCTCCGAGGGATGTATTTGTTAGGGACTTTAGGGACTTTAATAAGCGACAGATTAAGACTTTTTAAGATTTTTTTGATTTAACTGGAATCCTTATAAATCTGCTTTGACGTGGGATTTCGTATGTGTGTTTTGTTAGATATGTGTCCTGATATAATGTATTATCAGTACACATGTTTTGTCTTTGAAATCTCATTAACTCTTAAACAGTCAAAACAAATCATAATGATAAATAAATTGAGTACTTCACGACTTCAATGAAATCTGAAATGAATACCTCAAGATTTTTGAAGTCCAAATTAAGTGCACCAGGATTCTTAAAATCTCAAAAAGTCCTTACTGCGGAATGAATAGTTAAAAGAAATGCTAAACCATCCAAATTGAATCTACACAGGATATTCTTGTGAGTGGAGAAAGCGGTTGTCGTTGTTATGGGGGATATGGTGAAAGGCTATTGCAATCAGTATCCAGATTTATTTGTTAGTCTACAACTTCATTCATACTCTTATCTCCTGTTAGTTCTAAATTAAGTTATTTTCATATTTGATTTGATAATAGGAGATTCAATGGAGTTGAACCTTCAACCATCTCTCCAGTAATAACCGTAACATAAATAAACTCTCACGATTATGTCTCTGGACATGAAGTTTCTGTTTTAACTCATTTTATGGACGCATGACATTTTTCTAACCTATTGCTTAATGAGTAGAAATCATATGGACACATGACATTTCTCTAACCTATTGCTTTATGAGTAGAAATCATATTTTTCTATGACACGCTTCTTTATTTATTTATTTTTATTTTTTATTTTTTTTACCATTTGTTGCCTTTTGATAGAGCATAAATCTTGCAGTTGGAAGGGAAGAAGTAGACCTCCCTTTTCTGCTTTACTTGCAGGGCGGACCAGGTTTTGAGTGTGCACGACCAACTGACGCAAGCGGATGGATAAAAAAAGCATGTGAAGATTACCGTGTTGTTTTAATGGACCAGGTACAGATTGAGCATCCTTTTGAGGTTCTTTGCGTGTGTGTGTAGCTTCTATATATGTGTTCTATCTTCTCTCCGCTGACATGTTCCAGCACAGCGTGGAACAGGCCTATCGACACCTTTAACATCATCCTCAATGTCTCAATTCGAATCTGCTGAGAAGTTGGTTGACTACTTGAAACACTTTCGAGCTGACAACATAGTGAATGATGCGGAATTCATTCGCAAAAGGCTTGTACCTGGTTCCAGGCCTTGGACAGTGTTGGGGCAGGTAATTCTCTTTCAAATTTCATCACGAGTGTGTGCGTACAAATCCAATGTGAATGGTCCGACATATTCCATATTTTCCCTAGCTATTGTCTGTACACAGATTTGGTATTTTCCTTGGTCTTATTTCTAGAAATGGTTGATGACATTTCTCCTTCTCTAGAAAATAAAAAACCGAAAAAATGCCCACTCAACACGCTGCAAAAAGGTTCCTGTAAAAAAAGTATCTGAACCTCGTAATAACCTATTTCACAGGGGGGAACACTATTGATCCTCCTTTAAAAAAAAAAAAAATTACAATTTCACAGGCTGCAG